TCTATTTATGCAACCATTTTCTGCAGTGAACTGAATTTCTGCATCAGTTGTCACAAACTTAACTCTAATCATATGTAACATGCCTAGAATAGTGTAGGATTCAATACATCCATATTTTCCAAATTTTAGATGCACACGATGCACATCCACTTTAAAAACAAAAACAAAAACCACAACCGTATCATATGCCTTTCAATATATATACAAGTTGTAAAAAGAAAAAAGGACTGCACTCTTAACAGAAGACTGCACTCTTAAGATTGCATACATTGGTCTGGATCACATGTCCTGGTAAGACAAACTATGGCTTACTGAGACTACACAAATGTGCTGGCTCCCAAGGAGGAGCTCACACTTGTTTTGCTCATCCTTGGTCCTTATAACTCAGCACTACATGGAAGCTAAGCCAAGAACAAACTTTAGTTACAAATCTTACTTACTTAGGGAGAAGAGAGCTTAACCACGACCCCCAGGTTCAGATGACTGATTAAGTCACACAGCTGTGATCTCCTCCCTGGAAGACAGCACGTTCCTGCTAAACCAGGCATCCCCAACCTGCAGCCCTCCAGATGTTTTGGCCTACAACTCCCATGATCCCTTGCTAACAGGACCAGTGGTCAGGGATGTTGGGAATTGTAGTCCAAAACATCTGGAGAGCCGAAGGCTGGGGATGCCTGTGCTAACTTCTGTTAGTTCACTTCTCTCTGCCAGCCAATATTTGTTCTAAATTTACTGATTGTGGCTTTTTAAGGAACAAAACAAATCAAGATCCCTGGTTCAGACATAACGCTAATGAGGGATGAGACAAAGAGCCCTCTCGGGCATGCTCATGGTAAAAATATGGTTTACTGGAATGCGCCAGTACTATCAGTTTCAGCTTGGAACCCAAAAGGTGTTCTAAAATCCAGCCATCACAAAATGTCAAAGCAGCACCCTACAGGGTAGAAATAAAGTAAGCAGCAGGCTTTCATTTGAGAGCAAATTTGACACTCAACTTTATACATAGTCCAGGCTGATCAATGCAATATATTAATATCTTAACGGTAACAAACACAACAGCAATCCCTGTTTGGATGTTGTCTTTGCTGAGAAAAGAAAGAGAGATAATCACCAAGAGCAACTGGGTGTTGTCAGTGTAAAATAAATTCCTCGCTACAGCAGCAAAGTTTCTAAAATACTGTCTTAGAACTCTATAATTACATACTGTAACAGTTACAGGTAAAATGGCAAGTTCTTTGGAGGAGGAGTGCGGTGATGCCAAGTCTCATGGAAACTAGTGTAACAAACACAACAATCACCATAAAGGATCTGAACTGAACCTTGCTGGAATTATTTTGGTCCCATGACTTGAGTGGCATCTTCCCTCTGGCACAAGTCTGCTATTTAACTTCAGGTGAACATTTTTTTTACTTTTCTTCTTACATTTATGTCCCATCTTCCTTCCACCATGGAACCCATCCAACGCACCAACCAGACCCAGACCTGCTTAGCTTCAGCCAAGTGATGGCTCCATATGCTTTCAGATCATACTAATAGTATAATGATACGAACAACAACAAGGGGTTGCACTAAATTCCCTTGGGCATCCTTTCCAATTTTGATTCTGTTCATTAAATGCATATTGCAAAGACTGTTCAAAGAGGTTCACCAGCTTTATCAGGTTGCAATTGCTGAGGCAACACTGCAAGGCAAGGCAGTATTATTACCTCCCATAACTGAGAGAGCATGACCAGCCTAAGGCTACCTACTGAATTTGTGGCAGAAGTGAGACTCAAACCAGAGACTTCGAGATTTATGGCTTCGTTTTTCAGCCACTACGCTACCGCAGCTGCCACCGATCTTATCTTCTACTGATGTCTACCATGAACAAATTGTGGTGCAGGAAAGTAGCGTTGGCTTAAGATGCAGATATTAAAGAGGGCATTTGTTAAACTAACCTCCTCACCTTTATTACTTGGTGCAAGAGATAAGAGCTCTGAAAATCTTTCACTGGTGTTGGTTGTTGTGGTGGTGGTGGTGGTGGTGGTGGTTTGATAGGAATAAATCACTTACAGCACTTCAGCTACATGAACTAAAACCAAGTAATGGTTAGTGAATCTATCTGTAATTACCGTATTTTTCGCACCATAGGGCGCACCTGACCATAGGGCGCACCTAGTTTTTAGAGGAGGAAAACACACACAAAAATATTCTGAATCAAATGTTGCACTACTAAACTATTTAATGCAGCAAAGCGGGCGGCTCCTGTCCGCTTTGCTGCTTTAAATCGAGCCTCAGAGGAGGGTAGGAAGGGGAACCATGGCTTATCTAAGTCCAGTTAATAATGCTGAGCCTGACTTATGGCCATTGAGATTAGCCTGGCCGTCTCAGTGGAAATCTGGGGAGGCTGAGGTGGACTTTCCAGTGGTCAAAGTGTGGTTGTGTCTTCCTGCCCGGCATCTATTTCCTGCCCTCTTTCCCCCCTGCACCCCTGCACCCTGCTTCGAGGGAAGGAAGTGGAGCCATGGATCCTCTGCTCACAACTGCAGTGGATTCCCTCCACTTTGAAGCAGCAAAGTGGGAGAGAAGCTGCTTACACAAGTGTAAGCTGCTCCCCTCCCACTTTGCTGCTTCAAAGGGAGCCCGGGAGGAGGGAATCCGCTGCATGGATCCCCTTCCTTCCCTCCTCCGTGGTTGCTTTGAAGCAGGAAGGTGGGAGAGGAGCTGCTTACACAAGTGTAAGCTGCTCCCCTCCCACTTTGCTGCTTCAAAGGGAGCCCAGGAGGAGGGAATCCGCTGCAGCCACGAGCAGTGGAGGATCCATGGTCCCCTTCTTTCCCTCCTCTGTGGTTGCTTTGAAGCAGGAAGGTGGGAGAGGAGCTGCTTACACGAGTGTAAGCTGCTCCCCTCCCGCTTTGCTGCTTCAAAGGGAGCCCAGGAGGAGGGAATCCGCTGCAGCCACGAGCAGCGGAGGATCCATGGTCCCCTTCTTTCCCTCCTCCGTGGTTGCTTTGAAGCAGGAAGGTGGGAGAGGAGCTGCTTACACAAGTGTAAGCTGCTCCCCTCCCACTTTGCTGCTTCAAAGGGAGCCGGGGAGGAGGGAATTCGCTGCAGCTTCCCCCACCTCCCGCAAAACCGGCAGAAGCCGTCAGCTCTTTAAAGGGGCTGCGCGGCTTCTCCTGGCTTTTCTGGGAGGTGGGAGAAGGGACTGATGCAGCCAGTCCCTTGCTTTTTCCCTTGCTTTTTTTCCTCCTTGCTTTTTAGGAGGGAAAAAGTGTGTCCTATGGTGCGAAAAATACGGTAAGGCCTCCCTTTACGTCTGGTGGACACACTCAAGTATAATCTACATGCGTAACCCACCAGGAGTGAAGGGCATGCACAAGAACTATGGTGAATGGAAAGACAGTTTTCTGATCCCTTCTCCACCCCCCAGCCACCTGCACCCATGAAAATCTCTCTTCAGTGTACTGGGAAGTGGTGGCTCCTGTGCAATGGGACCATGGGAGAGCTACTGTGGAAGGTGGAAATTGCCCTAAAACCAGGAGTAGCAACATCCAATTTGGGGCAACTTCCCCCTCTGACAGCATCCTCTCCTAGTCATTTCACATTGGTCAAGAGTGGCCCCATGACAGCTGCAGGGGTAGGAAGAAGTGGAAAATTTATTAGGGTCCAAGCCACATTTAGGTGTCCTTCAAAGAAGAAGAAAAGAGGGTGGTGACTCAGAAGCTACAGTGTGCCATTTCCTGGCTGCTGTTTCAAAGTAATTTAAAAGCCACACACTTTTCTCTACAAACATGTGTTCTTTACACCTGGGGTGCTTCCAGACGGTGCTATTTTTGGGTGGGATGCAATCATATACCGGCAAACTCAGGTTGCATAATTATCGCTGCCTGGGAGCTCTTTCTCAAGAAATCTACTTCTCCAAAATATTGGATTTTTTGCAGTAAGGATAAGTGACAGGAAAATGCACTGGAAAGTGTTGGGTAACACTTCCTTTGATGCAATGTCTTATTTCCTTCCTGCAAACAAATCAAAATGAATGCTTAATAAGCAGGTTGTCTAGACACACTACTGATGGGATACACTGCTTTTTTTGCATTTCTGCCCGAGGTTGAGCACGCAAGTACAACTTTTCTGTACGTCCATTAAAAAACACACACACAATAGTGTTGTGCTGCTTGCTTGAGAGAAGTTTCATAAAGACACTAAACACCCCAAATGCTGTAACTTGCATTGGATCAGGCCTACAGACTACAGCACTAGTAAATCGCTGCAAATCGTGATATGTTTTGATCATCACTATGCCAGCATAAATGTTTAGGAATAGAGGTGACAGCGCAGTATGCCTCTGTAGACAGATGCTTGTATCACAGGTGGGGAGAGTGCGGTTTCAATCAGGTCTTGTTTAAGGGTTTCCTATAGGCAACTATCATAATGTCAGCACACCTTAGAGATCTTCACGTGTTAACGTGCATGAAAAGGCAAAACAATATTACAACGGGCTCGTGGGTCATGCCTTTAAGCAATGCAGCCAATGAGACCACACAGCTCCTCTCAGTTCCGCCCCATCCAAGGCGTGCGCGTGCTAGCAGTGGCATCTGATGTGGAGAAGGCTTTGAATGTAGAGGCCTTCCAGGATCCTGCATCTGCAAAAAGCCTCCAGACACACAAGGTTGGTGTGCTGAAGCCTGTGCTAACTTGGTCACTATGGGGAAATCCAAGGACCATCTGAGAACAAAGGGGAGGGTGGAATGGTTACAGACAACAGCCCTCCTAAGGCAAGCAGGTTCCAGGTTAACTTACCATATGGGAGAGTCTGGCAATGATCCTCAGATGGTGATATATTAAAGTGATTCCATTACCTCCATCCCCTGTAGTCAATCCAGTTCCCACCCACCCCAAGCTGGTTTGTGTGTGTAAACTGGTGAACTGCTCTACTGCTGGAGGCTCCCCACACATTTTCCAGGTTTTAAAATGCACAGGTATTTTTTTTAGAAGTATAGAAGGGCTCTTCCATTTCAAACAGTCACCATCCACCTCATGGAACGATGGGGAGAGGATAAGAGTGAAATGTGACACCAATCTTAGCTATCCTATACCTTTGACCAAAGAACAGTATGCTCCTTTTATCTGGGATGGTTGTCCTCTTCCACCGAGTATCCAGCTTCGGGAGGGATGCACATGGAGTGGTGAGGGAGGAAGGTGACACCTGCCTAGCCAGCCAATTAGCCAAATCGACCCTGGTGATCAACGGGGTGACAAATGTCACAGGTAGATCACCCTCACATCCCAATCTTAGCCACGGAAAAATAAATAAAGCCCCAGTTATCAAGAGTTTACAACGCACAGACTTTAGCCTATACAAAGCACAAAGACCTTGGGAGAAAAATATTCTGAGTTCATCTGAAACGAGGAAAAAGAAACTGCAAACACATGGCTTGCATGTGCTTGAACGCTGTCGCCATTTTTTTCCAGGTCACAGCTAAGGACGGAAAATCGAAAGTCAAGGCAGCCCAACTACCTGTTTAACTGCATCAATTATCTGCCACCAAAATTAATGAAGGAGCATGCCTTGGATGCAGTTATAAATCATACACTGATTTAAACACATGGATAACACCAGTGAACCTGCTTGGCAAAGGAGTTAACAAACATATTGCTTCTTTTAGACCAGATGTGGCCACAGTGAACAAACCATTTAATTACCCTATTTCAGATTTCTATAGATGTTGCTCTACCTTATGCTTTCCCATGATCTAAGCATATAATTTTTATTTGCTTTCCCACAGCCCTTTTTAGATTACAACATCAGAGAGGCTGGGCAAGGGCTTGCAAAGAACAATGTTGTCATCAGCAAAACTATTTTTCATCATGCATTTCAGCAAAGCTAGTGTTTTTCTTTTCCTTTTCCTGCTCAACACTTCATCCAGGAGCCCTGGCTTCAAGATAACTACACCCCTACCTAACGTTTGTGGTGTACCCTGACCTGACCTGAAGTAGCAACCACTCCCCTCGGTTGTCAAGGTAATGTAAACAAAGGCAGCAAACTTTGCCCAGAGGCATTCACAAGTGGCTACGGTAGTCAGCTGACACACAAATCAAACTCAGACAGAGTTTTGAAATTAGTGAAGAATGTTTTTGCCTTGTAGCCAGCTTAGCTATATTATGATCTCCGAAGATGCAGCTAGTTCTAAACTGTCCAAAATCCCAGTAAATGCCAGAAGCATCACTGGCTGCCTCAATAAACGGTATTAAGATGGTGTGCTGACTGTAGAGCTATCACATTTGCACACCTATAAACATTTGTGACATTCTGATATTCTGTCCTGTCACCTTTTTTCTTTCCAATGAATTCACCCTGCCTCTGCTAAGACAAATCATCCCCATCTCACATTGTCATGGCCACACCTGTGTCCTCTGGATTTAACTGTGTGGGGAATTTCCCATCATTCCACTTCAGCTCTTTGCTGCAGAATAGGAAGCCTTGAATAATTCCGCTGAAAAGATGGGGTGGAACACAAAAGTTCCACGGAGCACAGTTCAGGCAGGGGAGAGTCTACTGCCTACCCTCCACCAGATAGCGAAGTGAACACAACCACAAATAACTTGCTGGAGGCATGAAACTCACTTGGGCAAACCATTCTATCTAAGCTTACGACATCTCACAAGAGAAATTGTGAAGACAAAATGGAATAGCCCTATGTACATTACTGCACACTTCCTCAAGGAAGGGCAGAAAAACAGATAGGATATTTTAAATACTTGCTGGCCCAGCATCCCCATTATGCTTGCTACTGCTGAAAACTGTCAGTCCCACCCTAGCTACCCCTTCAATTTTGCCCCATCTTACTAATGACCATAGTTAAAACACAACACAACATTTCTATTTCAAAAGCTTTCCGCAGGATTTGTGCAGCCTGCTCAAGTTATCCCTCCAATTGCAACCACTCTGCCTAAAGCCACAGTGAAATAAAGACAAGTAGCCAGTCATTAGTTCTAACCAACATTCACTGTAACATAGACTTGGTGAAAGTCTGCCACTCCACAGGAATCTGGTGGTTTTCTTACCTGAATAGATGTTGTTAGAGCCACTGGATGAATCTAGTAGTAAGACTTTAGCATTCGAATATGGGTAAGCAAAATATTTTTAAGTAAGAGACCATTGTACCAAGGCCAGTCCCCTTGATATTTAAACCTACAACTGTGCTAACAAGAATATCTCTACCTTCACTGCTGAACTTAAAATACTGACCTATTAAAAATGCTCTGCCCTATTAACATTTATTTTAGATGTATTACAGATCAGATCCACTTCTACGTTCCTTGACATTTTCTTCAATGTTCACCTCTGTACCTTTTCATCCTGTTCCAAATGTGCAGAAGAATACGGGTGTTAGAAAGTCTCAAGACGCAGATTTTTATCACAGGAACGAACTGTCCTAATCACCAGAAAATCATAGTTCGAGCCGAGTCTTGTTCCATCCATGGTTCTTGCTGTGTTGCACCACTCTTCCCTTCTCCTGAAACTATGTTCTGCCTACCTTGACCATAATCATATCGGACAAGGAACACGTCTCTTCAACACCCTGCACAGCTCTCATCCATTCAACTGCAAGCTGTACAAAAGTCCATGTACTTATGCATACACGCATGGAAAACGCAATCCTATCCATGTTTACTCAGAGCTTTACTCACATCCCACTGTGCTCAGTGTAGTTCATTTCCAGGCAAGTGTGAAAAGAAGTGCAGTCTTAGTAAAGCTTTCTGAGATGTTTAGGTTCATTGCAAGGACATGGATAACAAAAACCTTGACCTCTCTTCCAATGGTAACCCAAAACAGAACTAATCCACCAAATATTTAATCATGAAGCTGACACTGGAAATTTCTCTTTTAAAATCACTCCATCAGTATATTAAGTGTACTTGGGCTTTGAACAGCAACTTTACAAGGAAGATGGTGTCACTGGTTGGTTATTTAATGCTCAGCCAATAATTATTTTATATCAGTAACTGAAAATGCAGAACTCTAAGTCTGAAATATTGCCAAAAGACTGCAAAAGCTTGGTAGCATCAGTAATGCAACAGGAGAGAATACATGCAATGTTAATGTGTTTTACTGACCATATGAACATTCCAAGGGAATCTATTTGTAGGACTTCAAAATCTTTCACATTGTTCCTTGTTTTTTTTTGTGTGTGTTTGTGTGTACCATGTGTTTATGATTCTGGATAATTCCTAGGAAAAACGGATGTATCATATTCAATGGGAAGTACCCTGAGGCTGCTGACTATATAAGACTGATTGTATTGCTTTGATTTGCCGATCTGTATTTTCAACACACACACACACACGTGCTGGAATGAGCAAGGACCCTCTGCTTGTTATAACCAGTCACTACTATGAACCTCCCTCAAATTACTGTGAGGCAGCACTGAGCTCAAATAAGATTGTATATAAATAAATAAATAAATAAATAAATAAATAAATAAATGCAAGAACATGTAATTCAGTAACAAAATAATAAAGAAATAAAAAAATAAAGACAATAAAAATGAATAAAAATTAAAATTAAATATATACACACACATACATATATACAAATTTGGGTTGTTTCATCCACAATCCCTAGAAAAAATAATTATTGGTGTGGGAGAAGCTGTACACTTTTTAAAGAATGATTTGTTTTATTTATAAGTATTGCCCTCGAGGTCTTGTGACTCGAGGCCTTATTGTTACTTGAATTTCACAGAGTAGAATTTTTCACAGGAGGCATTTGAACACTGCCATCATCATTAATATATAAAATAGTTTTTGGGCACATAGCTGAAAATAAGATTGTCAAGATGTCTGCCAAGACAATGGTTTTATGCCTTCATTTATAAATCAAGGTTTTATGCCCTTATTGTTGTCCCAAGGTGAGAATTTTGGGTTAGGCAGCTGTTCCTGCACGTGCCACATGATAGATGGTGGAAGGTATAGTTTCTAAAATTCAGCCTTCTTTAGATACTGCACTCTAGCCTAGTCCAAATGAACTAGAATTCTAAACTAACAAAAGCCCAGATGTGCTTATTCCTCTAAATGATGAAAGCTTGCCTGGTTCTTAATTTAACACATTCATATTCCCAGGATTCTACAGTGGTTTCTGAATTTCCACCTAGCTAGCTGCTCAAACCTACCCATTTCATTGAGCATCCAAACTCTGCTTCACCTTCCATTTCCTCCTAATCCACAATACAGTGGTGCCCCGCAAGACGAATGACTCGCTAGACGAAAGGGTTTTCCATTTTTTGAGCTGCTTCGCAAGACGAATTTCCCTATGGGCTTGCTTCGCAAGACGAAAACGTCTTGCAAGTTTGTTTCCTTTTTCTTAACACCGTTAATACAGTTGCGACTTGACTTCGAGGAGCAACTCATAGAACGCAGTGTACATAGTAGCCTTTTTTGAGGTTTTTAAAGACTTTGGTGATTTTTGAAGCTTTTCCAAAACTTCTTTTGCAGCCATTTGGTAAGTTAAGCTTTTAAAACTTTTGGGGGGTTTTGGATTTTGGGTTGGGGTGTTTGGAATTCAAGGACTTGGTGTTGGGGAGGGGTTTGCAAGAATCTGGAAGCTTGTGTGTTTTTTTTCTGCATTTTTATGATTTTCTGTGACCATTGGGCCACTCTGCTGTTTTTTTAAAAAAATTCTGGATTTGAATTTCTGTGTGCTGGGTGGCTGGGGGAACAGTTGGGGAGGGGTTGGCAAGAATCTGGAAGCTTGTGTGTTTTTTTCTGCATTTTTATGATTTTCTGTGACCATTGGGCAACTCTGCTGTTTTTTTAAAAAAATTCTGGGTTTGAATTTTGAAATGCTCTTTACAGTATGTGAGACTTTAAAGAGCACTTAATAAACTCTTGTTGTACCAAATTTGGCTTTGTTTGGACTTTTTTTGACCATAGGAATGCATTAACTGATTTTCAATGCATTCCTATGGGATTTCGTGCTTCGCAAGACGAAAAATTCGCTAGACGAAAAAATTCACGGAACGAATTAATTTCGTCTTGCGAGGCACCACTGTATTAAGTTCTTACAATTTGGTGTGGAGGGGTGAGCTGGGGTGGGGGTGGGGGAACAAGAGGAGAGAGCCATTTGTAAACCAGTCTGTAATATGGCACACGCAAGAAATCTGAATGTGTTTTCAGGGCAGTCCATTCTATGGACCAGAAGAGGGAAAATATCAAAACAAAACTTTCCCAGCCACAGATTGTAACATGGGATTCAAAAGCAGTCAGCTTGGCCGTATGCTGGCCAGC